AAGTATGTAGGGTTGATAACTATATTACTAAGTTTTCGCTGGATCATTGAACAGAACTGTTTGCAGTCTCACTGTTTGAATGTCCACTTTGTATGCTTTAATTTTGTAACTTGAACAACTATTTCTAAGAGGACAATATGTAATATATCAACTAGTGATTTCTTAATGTTTATTTTTTTTTGAAATTCTGTATTATTTCAACCCTTTTTCTGTTTTGCTTTTTTTCTCTTTAGATAAAATTTTTTAAATAAATAAATAAATAAAGGGGCTGGGGTATAGTGCAGTGCAAAGGCCTGGGTTCAGTCCTTAGTATCATACATACCAAAAAAAGAAAAAGATATTGAAATATTGTATATATGGTCTAGATCAGGGTTTCTCAAATTCCCTTGTGGGAAATAGTAAATAATGTCTAGGTTTTATTATTATTGTGATGTCCATGTATATGTCCTGAAGTTATCTCAAACTCAAAAATTTAAACTAAGCTAGTTTTCTATCCACAGATCGTTAAGAGTGTTCTCTTCATAGTTTCCTTGTCTTCATTACAGATATCACTATCTGTGCTGGAACCATTCATTTATACAAATAAACCTACTCTCCACCCTGCTTTATGTAGTTCAGGTAGAACGCTATAATTATTTGCAAATACCATTACTTGCTTAAATTCAATAAAAATCTGTTATTGTTGCAGTGGGAACATTAATTATATTCAGGCTTTGACTGAAACTTTTTTTTGTCATTTTGAGGCTGGACTTGAACCCACTTTGTAGCCCAGGCTGGACTCAAACTCATGGTAATCCTCCTGCCTCAGCCTCTCAAATGCTAGGATTATAGGTGTGCATCACCATGTCTGGCTCTGAAACATCATTTTTGAGAATGATGCATAAAATCAGATCAGTAAGAATGTAATGAATTAGTAATGTTGTAATTAACCAAGATTGATTTATGGAGGCTGGCACACGCCTATAATCCCAGCGTACCGGAAGCTGAGGCAGAAGGATCACTGTGACTTTGAGGACAATTGGAGTTACAAAGTGAGTTCAAAGTAACCTGAACTTTTTAATATTTTTTGTTTGTTTGATACTGGGAAGCCAGCCTAAACTGCATAGTAAAACTATCTCAAAAAGACAAAACAAAGCAAAAGACTGACTTACGGAGATATGCCTACAAGGCTCTCATGTAAACCAACCCAATAGTCTCTGTTTTATTGAGCTTCCAGGATTACAGATGAGTGAATGTCACCTCCTATAAGTCCAAGGAAACAGAAACAAATTCACCCAGATCTGCAGATATTGAATGCTAAATCTGGTAACAAATTCTTGATTATCCTCTGCCTCAAAGAGATTTTAAAGTTTAATCTTGGATGCCTCATTAAATGTTTCAGTAAGGCAATTTTTAAAATGTCTATATGTTCAATGTTATTTTTCTGAATTTATAGAAATAATCAGGCCAGCTCTAAAGAGATCAGACTTGTATTTTGTAAATAAGAGTTAAATGGGTGGGCATGGTGGCTCACTCCTGTAATCCCACCACTCAGGAGGCTGAGGCAGGAGGATCATTGCAAGTTCAAGACCAGCCTGGGCTACAAAGTGAGCTCAAGGCCAGCCTGAACTGCATAGTGAGACCCTGTCTCAAAAAGACCAAAAAAAAAAAAAGAGTTAAATGGGTGGTGACTGTAGAAGATTTGTGCTCCTGTGGGAAACTATATTGCACCTTTTTGGGTAATAAGATTATAGTTTTGTTCATAGTCTTTGAGACATTTTTTAATCTCATTTTTTATCTTTCCATTTAAAGTTATGCTTTCTAACACATTTTATCAGTCGTTAGTGTTTCAATTTTTTCCTACCCACTTGACACCACTGAAAATTAAAACTCTTCCTCTTCAAAAGCCCTATAAGCTGAAACTTGGATGACATAACATGAGTTTCAGAGAACTCACAACAAATTGTGTATAGGCAAACTTTGTAGGTGCTACTTGGCAGATCACTCAGAAAATTTTATGGGAACATGCAGTCCTATCAACAGGCAGTCATGCTACAAATATTCAGCAATTAGTCTTTTTTTAAAAAAATTATTTTCGTAGAAACTCTTCACAACCAGCAAAAACTCCTTACCAAAAAAAAAAAAATTCCCTACAATCAAGTCTCAATAGATGGTTCAGCTGGTTTTTAAAAGGTGACTGACTGGGAAATAAACTGTTCAAAAGAAAACAGAATGTCTGTTTTTCCCTCTGACAAGGAATGAAGAGACTCTTCTTCATTGAATTTTTGTCAGGTGCTTCTAAGCACTATATGCTTCAGCCATGGGGTTCTTCCATACCAAGCCTGTGTTGCCTAGATGCAGAAGAAGCAAATATCTCGCTACATCGGTTCAGTTCTTCACTTCATATATCTGATCACCCTGAATTTATGAGTGGTCAATTTTCTCAACCCACACCATTCAAGTGACATCTGATACCTTGGCCTGCTTTCAGCAAGAATCCTGTTAAGCCATTTAAATTGACGGCCTTTGTAATGATTTGTGGGCAGGGGATTTGACTTAGCATTATCCGCAAGGTCGCAAGTTCAATCCCTGGTACTAAAAAAAAAAGTCTCCAGATTCTTGATACTTTTGAGGTGGGTTCTTGAACAACAGTATAGGAATCCAAGCAGCCAAACTGATAAATCTGAAATTTAATTAACTGAACTCAGAACTACTTATATAATGACCCCCTCGTTTCACGGTCCAAATAAGTGGCACCGAACTGGAAAGTTACATGTAGGCAGCCACTGAAACTGAGACTGATCACATGTGTATGCTAAAGCAAGGCCAGCCCAGAAAAAACAGAAAGACCAAAACAAGCTATATAAACAAGTTATGGGTTGCTAGGCAGACCGGCTGAAATTGACATCATCTTGCCCAGTATAAATAAAGGTGCTATGGTGGTTGAGCAGTTCCTTTCCTCCCTTCAGGAACTTAAGGGCTCCACCTGACCTGTCTTTTCTTTATTTTTCTCATCCTCTCTCAGTCTTTAACCCCAAGAACCTCAGGAGCTGCATTGGCTCAAGACAGTTACAGAGTTTTTAAAAGAGAGAATCACAAAAGACATCCTGTTGGAAACAATTTAGCTAGGATCTTACATTAATTTTTGGTTGAAAGCTGTATCCTGCTTCTTTTGTTGAGCGGGTTAATTTTTCTCCTGTGGGTACAGCTCATTCTGCTTTTTTCATGGGACTTATATCCTGGGTAATTTTCCATTTTCCTGGGTCACATACAGGGCACTAGTTAAATGCAGGGCTCAAGATGGCGTCAACTATGCCACGCTACAATTTTCTCTTAGTTATTTTCCATCTGCTGACGCTTGTCCTGCTCCTTTTCTATAATTCCAAACTTATATTTGTTGTGTTCAAATTTTTTGGTTTGACCTAAGACAAAGCACTGATTAGTTCAGGCTGGCCTTGAACTCACTATGTAGCCCAGGCTGGCCCTGAACTCTTAGTGACCCTTTTGCCTCTGCCAGATGAGTGCTGGGATTACAGGTGTGTACCACCACGCTTGGTTTTGCGTTCAGATTTGATCCCAATTCTGTATTGGGTCTGTCTTCTTCTACTATAATATTTTATGAACAAAATTTGCCTTTACTATTTTAAATATAGTCTGGTTCTGGTTTTTTTTCTTTAAAATGTGTAAGAAGATCAAGTAAGAAATACTACTAAGATAAAACAGTATTGTTTCTGGGTTGAACACAAACAATGGCTTTATGTGTCAGGAAGCTTCTGTCAGAACCAGTGCAGAGAGAGACACGTTCCTCCACAACCACATGCAACATCTGTCCCATGGGCTTCAAATGTGCTGTAGAATGAATCCCAAAGCTTTAGTCTACACGGGTTTAAAGAGAAAAAATGTAACAGTGAGTGCAGTTTACTTCAGAGTGACTTTATGGTACTGCAATTTATTTGATTTTGGGGCTGGAAAAGTACATGAAATAGTGTCTTTAAACATTGCTGTGATGCCCTGCAGACTATACTGCATGGAAATCTGAATGAGTGTTTTCGTTTCTGTCTTTTCCTTTACTTACTTTCTTTTTTAATTTTTTTTTTTTTTTGAGACAAGGTCTCACTATATATTTCACCCTGACCTTGGATCTCAAGATGAAACCTAGGCTGGCCTTGAGTTTGCAGTGATCCTCCCGTCTCAGCCTCTTGAGTGCTGCAGTTACAGGCCTGCACTACCACACATGGCTCCGCTCTTTTCTTTTTTTTCTTTCCTTGTAAATATTGGGGATTGAATTTGAATCCAGGACCTTTTCACTGAACTACATCCATCTTCAGACCTTTATAAATTTTTTATTTTGAGACAGGATTTTGGTAAATTGCTCAACTGTCCAGTTTGGGCTAGAATTTAGGCTCTTAAAAGTACAGGATTATAGGCCTGTGTCACCAAACTCTGTAAGAGCAGTAAGCCATGTGTAGTGGTGCATGCCTATAATCCTAGCACTAAGGAGGCTGAAGCAATCACTTTGAGTTCGATGCCAGCCTCCATTACAAAGTGAGTTCAAGGTCAGCCTGAAATGCATAGTGAGACCCTGTCTCAAAAAAAAAAAAAAAAAAAAAAAAAAAAAACAAGAGTATGATCAGTAGGCTTGTGGGCACAGCCTATAATGCCAGTCCTCTTGGAAATTGAGGCAGGAGGATTACAAATTCAAATTCAAATTCAAACCCAGTCTGGTGAATTTAGCAAGACCCTATCCCAAATAAAAATTTAAAAAGGATCGCAGTGTAGTTCTGTGCGAAGACCCTTGCCCAGTCCACAGTATTAAGAAACAAACAAAAAAGAGCTGTTTAGTGTTAGGAGTGTCGAATCTGTTTTTCTTAAAGCCCTTCTAGATGTCTTTTCTCTCTGCTTGCATTTGGTAGTCCACAAAGCCAAGGCCGTGTTCCTTGGGGACTACATTACCCAGAGGACCTGCGCTGTGCTCCTGCTAAGCTCGACCTATGAAAGGGCTTTTCCGTGCCACCGACGGGCGTCAAGGCGGGGCTTCCGGCGCACACCTGGCGACAGTCATCTTGGGCTCTCTGGTATCTGCCTACTGCACGCGATTTTTCAGCGGTCAGTGGATAGACATAGAGTGAGCAGAAAGACTGGAGAGCTAGTGTAGTCCCCGCTGACGGAGACGGCTCTGAGGATTACCAAAGGGCGCTGCGGAGTGACTGCAGTTACGGCGGAGTCCGCCTCTTGTGGCTTTATCCCACCTACAGGCTTTGATGGTGACGCTTGCCCGGAAGGACCCGGTTCAGGTTAGTGTTGCGCCCCCTTCACCGATCTAATCAGTCCAGACTCTCACCTCCCAATCCTACAGACCCCACCGCTGGGCACGCGCTCTTGGCTGTTTCAGTCTGAAGGTTGCGTTCCCGGTTTCTGTCGCTCCGCGAGCTAGAGAGCGGAAAGGGCCGCAATGTGAGGAGCTGGAGTTGGGATCGAGGGGGCACTTTAGGGAATTTGTGGCCTGTCTCCTGTCTTTAGGAAATTGCTGGGGGATGAGTCACACGTGGCTTGGCAGCGTGAGCGAGGGATGAGTCACGCGTGGTTTGGCAGCCTGAGCGGAGGATGAGTCACGTGTGGCTCGGCTGTCTGTGATTAGGCCCACATTCGGAGGACGCTGTGGCGGCTTATCCGGAGGGACCAGAACTCAGAATCGCTCTGAGTTGAGACTAAAAGGTTTCTTATAGGCTGTCAAGCAAAGGGCAGAGGAGCGATAGAGTGAAACTTGAGGAAACCTTGAAGAGGTTACCTCTGCCGACTCCTGGATGATTGCTGTAATGTAGCCAGAGCACTAGTGCTGTTGACTGCCGCGGGTCCTCCCTTCGCTGAAAATGAAAGTTAAAACTGAAACAGGATTTGTAGGCGGTGGATTTAATTGGAGAGTAAGAGAAAGGTCAAGGACTTAATTAAGCTCGAGGAACTGACAAAATTCTTTTATGCTGGCCCTATAACGGAAAGCAAAAGAGGATAGACAGAGGCTTCGATTTAAGAAACTGATAGTGCAGATCTGAAGAGGTGGCTCAAATTGAGCTGAAAAAAAATCAAGACAGGTTTTCAATATTTTCTGGAGTGGACTAGAGGCTGGTTGGTCATGACCTCAATTCTGCTTTTGCGACATGGCCCTGGGAGAAGTCCTTTTGCTTGAGGGAACCACTTAAATTTTCATTAGGTGGTTATTTTTGCTTGGGACAGTCTCAGTCTCTCCCTCTCTCTTTTTTTTTTTTTTTTTTTTCTTTTTCGTCTTTTTCAGACAGGGTCTCATGCAGTTCAGGCTGGTCTTGAACTCACTTTGTGACTCAGGCTGGTCTCGCAACGATCCTCCTGCCTCAGTCTCCCGAGTGCTGGGATTACAGGCGTGAGCCACGCCCGGCGCAGTCTCAGTCTCTTTAAGAGTCTCCTGGAAGCCACGTGACACTCAATTTAGGGCAGTCATCTTAGAAGCTTAATGATTCCGAGTTGTGGACATAGTCGCATGTGTCTGTAAATCCTTTATCTTGATATTGGTTTTGTCTTCTTGAGAGAGTTTCATGTAGTTTGGGCTAGTCTTAAACGCACTTTGTAATTCAGGGTGGCCTCAAAACTCCAGTGGTCCTCCTGCATCAGCCTCAAGGGTTAGGATCACAGGTGAGCACCAGCTCGACCGACTGATATCCTCAGTTTTGAAAGGGGATGATGATGTTATGTAAATTGGGGACCAATTCACCTGTTTTTCTAACCTTTTGACTGAAACTTCCCAAATAATTAACATACTTAGCTATAGAACTGAAAAGAGGTGTGACTCCACACTTTAGGCTAACAGAGGGCACAAAATAAAGGTCAAAAGTCTTTGTTCTACTTTTAGTTACCTATTGGGCTTCTTTAGACTCAAACAGTCAGTGTTGGGTTTGTTTTGCTTTGTTTTTTGCAAAAAAAAATTTTTTTTTAAGTCCCACTGCTTTAGAAGAAAGTATTAAAAGATGCTGTCACAGCACAAGGAGGTCCTTAAAGCAAGGATGGGGAACTTCAGTTTACTTCACGCATAGGATAGGTTATAGGTTTGCTAACTTCCTTCACAGAAAAAGAATTTACAAGATGCATTCGTGAGAGGTTTAAGGACAGAATTCAACAGGACACAGAATAGAATGCAGACTCAAGAGAGAGACACTGGTTAAGAGTAAGGGTTTTTATGTAGACTTAGGGATCTCCTCAGATGGAAGTACCTACCATATACTGGCAGGCTGTTAGAATGCAAATCTTCTGTTTCAAGTTGAAATATGTCCATTTTCTGTAAGAGAAAGTGTAATATACAGGTGAAAACCACAAGCCCAGGCTAATGTGTTTAAATCCTTAGGAAAAAGTATATGTGTGTGTTGGGGGGGGGGGCGGTGAATTTTCTAGAAAGAAAAAAGGCTTGCATAACTTTTGTGTCCTGAAGCTGCGGTTTTTCTTTTTTTTCTTTTCTTTTCTTTTTTTTTTTTTTTTTTTTTTGAGACAGGGTCTCACTGTGCGGTTTAGGCTAGTCTTGGGCTCACTTTGTAACCCAGGTTGGTCTCAAACTTGCAACAATCCTGCCTCAGCCTCCCAAGTGCTGGGATTACAGGACTACGCCACCATGCCCAGCTGCAGTTTTTCTTAATAATTTTATTTGTTTGAGACAGAGTCTATGTAGCTATGTAGTTTAAGCTGATCGTGAACTCACCATGTTGCCCGCCCTAGCCTAAAACTTGGGTGATCCTTCTGCCTCAGGCTCTCAAGTACTGGGATTACAGGTGTGTGCCATCATGCCAAGTTTTAACATTACAATTTTCATTATCTTCTTTTTACATTCATTCATTCACTTATGTATTCTTGGATATTGAACCCAAGGCCTTCACACTAAGCTGTGTCCCAAGATCTTTTGTTTTGAGACCAGTCTCTGTATTACCAGCACTGGGAACCTCTTACCTCAGTCTGTCAATGCTAAGATTATGGGATGTACCACCATGCCAGGTTTATATTGGCATTTTATTATCAAACCTGTACAGAAAGCCAAATGTTTATTCAAGGGTACATATGCCCCTTGGCAGGGACACAAAGCAGTATATTGCTTTTTTTTTTTAATTGGTACTGAGGAATCGAACTCACGACTACACACTTGTAAAGCAGGCACTTATGCCCCTGAGCTAAATCCCCAGCTCACAAAGCAGTATATTAAGATAGGCTGAAGGACGTATTTTTGGAAAAGCTAGTAAAACTGGGAATACCTCTAATGGCTGTTGGTTAAGATATTAGAGGAGTGGCTGGAAACTATCAGTAACAGCTGGAGCATTGTTTAAAGCTCCTTTTTCATGTTTTTTGTTTTGTGGTACCAGGAATCAAATTTAGGACCTTACGCTTGCCAGCAGGTGTTTGTACCACTGAGCTATATCCTTGGCCCATGAAACTCCTTTTTATGTCTGGTTTAGTTCTGGTTTTACGTTTTTGTTTATTTGTGAGACAGGGTCTTGCTATGAGGTTCATGATGGTCTGAACTCACTGTTTAACTCAGGCTGGCCTTAAACTTGAGGTGCCTCCCAAGTGCTGAAATTATAGATGTATGCCACCTACACCTGGCAGTGTTTTTAATTATTTACCTTTTGGTCATACTTTTTTGCTGGGGGTTTAAGACTAAATCACAATAAGATATATATTACTTGGGCATGGTAGCTTTGTTTAGAAAGCTGTTTCCAAGAGTCTTGTTAGAGTTTTTTTATTTATTTTCTTTACCTGTATCTATTGATATATGTGCATGTACCCGCTCTGGTTTTCTTTTTTGAAGCAAAATTTAGAACCCTTTAGTAGTTGTACATAGGGTAATAGCATTGACAAAAGTCAAAGCATAGCCCCTATTAGTTTAGGACTAGTTAACTAGATTAGTTAACGACCACGGATAGACCTGCCCAAAATACAAGTGTACCTCATTTATACAATTTTTAAAACTGTTTAGTTAGAGCCAATAGATATAGAGGTATTGGTGGTATTTTCTTTTGTTTCAAGTTTTGTTTTTGTATACTAGAGATTGAACTGAGGGCCTTTGTACTGAGAGACATCAGCAGACATTTTTCTTAGTTTTGTTTTGACACCAGGTCTCAGTAAGTTGCACAGCTGGGCTGGAACTTGTGGTCCTCCTGCCTTAGCTGCCCAGGGTATGCTCCAGCTGTATATAGATCAAATGTAGATTAAATAGCAGAACTAAATTGTATCAGATACAAAGCAGAGAAGGCAAAAGATTTTGATCACTTTATATATGCTTGATGTTTAGATGTAGTATATATTATATAGAAGAGCACTTATTAGTTGCTTTGTATCAAACATGTATGTTTAAGTTTATAAACTGCATTTTGACAAAAATTAGTCTTTAGATCAGTATAATTAAAACACTTTATAACAAGTTTACATTTAAATAAATTTTTAACTCTCTTAAAAGTATTTTTAAAAGTAATTAAGAGCCCAATAGCAAAAAATATAAAATTTTTTTAGCCTACTTTTTGTAAATTTTACCAAGAGTAGATCAACTTTTTTTTTTTTTCTTTTTCTTTTTCTTTCTCTTTTTTTCTGGTACCGGGGATCGAACTCACGACCACCTGCTTGCAAGGCAGGTACTTATGCCGCTGAGCTAAATCCCCAGCCCCCAACATTTTATTTTTAAATGGGAAAAAAAAAAACTGATACAGAATTTCAAAGCAACATAATAGAACATTAACAATGGTTAATATATATTGCATATTGTTATCTTTGAAAGTGTCACTCAGATAAAACAATGAAAACACAAATTATCTTTTTGATGAACAGATTAATACTATAATTATCTTTTATATATCTTTTCTCTCCATTTTTTTCTCCTCCCTATCTCAGTTGTTCCTTCTTTTGGAGCAGTTTCTTCGCCTTTCACTTTCACAATATCCATTGTATATTTTGGGTCTTACTTACTCTTTCAGTTTTTTACAGTAGGGAGACAATATGATTATGTGTGTGAGTCTAATTTATTTTACTTGTGAATATGGTCTCAAGTAGCATCTCTTTACTTATAAAAGCCTTCTTTATAGCTGAGTAGTACTCCATTGTATAAAAGTAACACATCTTTTTTATCCATTCCTCAGTTGATGAGCATTTGGGTTGTTTCCAAGACCTAGCTATGACATTGTGCTGCTATAAACATAGGTGCACATATATCATTGTGGTATGATGTTTTCAATTCTTCTGGGAAAATACTCAAAAGGGGACTAACTGGGTCGAATGGAACCTCTAATTCTAGTTTTTTAAAGAATCTCCAATTGATTTCTGCAGTGGTTTTACCAGTCTACACTCCCCCCAGTAATGCACAAGGGTTCCTTTTTCCCCACAGCCTCTCCAGCATTTGTTACTGGTTGATTTCTTATTGATAGTCATTCTTTATGGAGTGAGATGGAATCTTGGTGTTGTTTTATTTCTCATTTCTCAAATGGCCAGTGTTGTTGAATGTTTTTTCATATATTTACTTGCCATTTGTATTTCTTCGTCTGAGAAGTGCATGTTCTCAATTCTTTATATGTTCCAGATAGAACTTTGGCTGAGAGACTGTTGGCTAAAATATTTTCCTATTCTGTGGGGTGTCTTTTCACTCTGTTGATGAGTTCTTTTGATGTGCAAAAATTTTTTGATAAGATGAGATCCCAGTTGTTGATTCTTTGAAGTACTTATTGTGCAGTTTGTGTTTTGTTCATGAACTTTCTGCCTACCCATATTTCTTCAAGATTTCTACTTTTTTTCCAATAGATTTAGTGTTTGTTTTGTTCTTAAAATTTTTTTCCAAATCCATTAGTGCTTCTGTCTTAATATTTATTTATTTATTGGCTTTTTGAGACAGAGTCTCACTTTGTAGCCCAGGCTAGTCTTGAACTTGCAGTACTCCTCCTGCCTCAGCTTCCCAAGCACTGGGATTACAGGAGTGCGCCACCAAACCTGGCTCTTTTAATATTTAGATATTGGTCCATTTTGACTTATTTTGGTGCATGATAGACATATGTCTAGTTTTAGTCTTTGGCATATGGAAAGCCAGTTTTTCCAGCATCATTTATTTTTTTTACCAGCACCATGTATTAAAAACGTTTTCTTCTGGTGAACATGTTTGGTCCCTTTGTGAAGGAGAGGGTGACTTAGTGTCTCTGTAATTGTGTCTGCATTTTCTAGTCTTCCACTAATCCTCAGGTCTTACTGTTTGTTTGTTTGGGTGGTTTGGGTTTTTTTTTTTTCCAGTATCGTGCTGATTTTATCATAATAGCTTTGTAGTATAATTTCAAGTCAGGGATTGAGGGGCCTCCTGCCTTGCCTTTGTTGTTGCCCAGGATTGCTTTTGCTATTCTAGATCTCTTCCATTTCCAAATGAATTTTAGGAATTCTTTTCCTTGTCGATTTGTGAGATATGCTAATGGTATTTTGATCAGGATTGCATTAAATTTGAACAGTTTTGGAAGTGTGGCCATTTTCACAATGTTGGTTCTTCCCATCCATGAGGAAGGAATATCTTTCCATTTTTTGATACCCTCTTTAATCTTCTTTTTCAGGGTACTGTAATTTTCAATGTATAGATCTTTTACATCCTTTGTTAGATTGATTCCTAAGTGTTTTTCTTTTTTTGGATGTTATTATAAGAAGTGTTGTTTCTATAATTTCTCTCTCAGTGAGCTTGTTGTTTACATACGGGAATACTATTGATTTTTTTTTTGAGTGTTGACTTTATATCTAGCTATGCTGCAGAATTTGCTTATTAACTCTAGTAGTCTTTTGTTTGGTGGAGTTTTTGGGGTCTTCTAGATAGAGTATTGTCATCAAGAGCAGATCAACATTTTTTTTTTTTTTGTCTTTTTCATTTTTATCGGTACCAGGGATCGAACTCACGACTGCCTGCTTGCAAGGCAGGCGCTTATGCCGCTGAGCTAAATCCCCAGCCCCAAGAGCAGATCAACATTTTAAGAAAATTTTGTTGTTATATAAATATTTTGAATTTTGAAAACTATAAGCCTTTTATTTTTTATTTGTTTCTTTGTTTATGTCTGAGGCAGAGTCTTGCTATGTACCCCAGGCTGGCTTGGAACTCAGTGATCAGCTCGCTTCAGCCTCCAAGTTCTGGGATTACAGGCACATGTCAGCACACCGAGCATTGTTTTTTAAAGAGACCTCATTTAATGTCCCAAGTGAAATTAGTAACAGTTATAGTATAACTGATTTTTTAGTAAATGACTAAATAGCCAGAAGTCTGTAAGAACAGTAAATTAATAAGAAAATAATATAAGCTTAAAAAAGTAAATAGAGCAGCCACAGGTACTTTTTAGTCAATTATTACAAACATAGCAGATGTGATTGAAATATAGTCAGTATAAGGGGCTGAGGATTTAGCTCAGCGGCATAAGTACCTGCCTTGCAAGCAGGCAGTCGTGAGTTCAATCCCCGGTACTGATAAAAATGAAAAGAAATAAAGAAATATAGTCAGTATAAACACAGAAAGAAAAACAAGCAATATGAATAACAAGAAAGCAAATACAGTAACAGTATAGGTTTACAAAACAAGATGATAGGAATTTGACAATGATTGTAATATTGTGTATTGTTGCCTTCAAGAGAGTTGCTTAGATTAACAGGTGTAGACCTGTAAAATTGATCTAAACATATGAGTATTAGGGAGAAGATTTAAATACATTTCAAGACCCAGAATTTACAATTGCAAGTTTCTTTCAGTAAATTTTCTAAGGGAAGCCCAGACTTACAGAAGCATTGAGGCATAGGGAAGTTGATCCATCCACTACCAAATAACTGATGAAAGGCCATCCTAATAAATGAGGCCCATAAGTTAGTCCTTAATGTCACCTTGCTCCAGAGCAGGTTTGAGGGGTTGGATGAACCCTCAAGACCTCACCATGAATGCCCATTGCCCACAGTCTTATTCTTTTCACAGGTACCTATGGGTGCAGAAGTGCTTACTAACCATGCACAGGTGAGTAGAAGGTGTCTCAGACTCATGGCCTCTTTATCTCCCAACCATATGGTCTTTAATTATGGTGTCCTGGAGTGGTGTACTGGCTAAGGCCCTGGCCATGAGGTCTAGGGTCTCTAAGGTTCCCTCAGACTTAGGGACTCAAATCTAAACTGAGGGTTATATGGAGAAGTCATCTTTCTGGCAGCCTCTAGAATGCTGCACAAATGGTATTAGAAGCACAGGGGACCAATATGTGCAGGTATGTGTAGGGGAAACAGAGCTGGAAATATTTAGAAACTGAAGGTCTCCATTATGTTTTGGAACAGAGGGTATGGAGGAAGACCCAGACAGCAGGCTGAGCATATGTGTCAGTTTTCTTCATGTTATGAGCCAAGAAACATTTCTGGTTTGATTTGGTTTTGTGAGACAGTCTCATTATATGGACCAGGCTGGCCTTGAACCATGGCAATCCTCTTGCTTCAGTCTTCCTGAGTGCTGGGATTACAAGTGTGTGCCAACATGCCTCTTGCCAAGGAACATTTAGAATAGAGGTAACCTGAATCAAGGATTAGCAGATTTCCCTTGGCTGCAAAGTGAAGTATAGATATTAGGGGCAATGAAGGAGGTTACTATAGTAGTCTAGATGAATATTGATTTTGGCCAAGTAGGAGTGGTAGCCACGGAGGTAGAGTATCTTAGGAATCTGACTGCACTTTCTGATGTGAACAGTCAGATATAACATATTTACCAAGGGAAGAAGTCAGTTGTAGAAGTGAATTTCTTTTTTTCTTTTTTTTGGGGGGAGTACTGGGAATCGAACTCTAGGACCTTAGGCTTGCCAAGCAGGTATTGTGTCACTGATCTATATCCCCAGCCCGTGTGGGAATGAATTTCAGGGAGAACATTAGGAATTAGGTTTTGGACATATTAAGTCAGAAATGTTCCAGAGACTTTCAAGTAGAAGTACTGAGTGGATAGCTCAACAACAAACAGGTCTGGAGTTCAGGATGTTCAGATGCAGACATAACAAGGTGTGTAGACCAGGGTAGGTTGTGAGACACTAAATATATTTGAGAGGAGATCTTTAGATGGTGAGTGAGGGCAAAACCACTAATGTGCACTGTGTTAGTAGCTTTTTGTCATAGTAAAAAAATACCTGATAAAAGAACTTCACAGGAAGAAAGATTTATTTACACTCACGGTTTTGGAAGTTTTAGTTCATGGCAGTTTGCCTCATTGTTTTGGGCTGTGGTAAGGCAGGGCATCATGGTGGGAAGTGAATCATGGAGCAAAGCTTTTCACTTAATGGCAGCCAGATAGTAAAGAGAGAGAAAGGTGCCAAGATCCTATTATATTTTTCAAGGGCGTGCCCTCAGTGCCCTAATGTCCTTCATTTAGGCACTATGATCTAAAGGATCCATCATCTCCTAGTAGTGCCATCAGCTGGAAACCGAGCTTCAATACATTAGCTTTTGAGGACATTTAATATTCAAGCCATAACAACCATGGAATGTGAGGGCAGGGTTGAAGGACTAGGTCCCTTTTTTGGGCTCCTAAATGGAGTTGGTAAACATTATAACCAGCATTGAGAGAGAATAGGAGGCAGAGGGTGGATCTGATAATGGGACAAGGCTTCCAAGGAGAATGCCATGAGATGGTTGTAGAAACACAACATTAATGGAAGTGAATTGACAGTAAGACCAGGGCCTGTGCTTATTCTATCCTTTAAAGGTTCACCAGACTTTTGTGGTGACCTGTGTCAGCCTGGTGAGCTTTACCCAGGCTCATGGCTGACATGGGAGATAGTCAGTGAATTGGAGAGGAGGGCTCCAGGCTTCCTTTGGGACTTTGAGCCATCAGAGGTCTGTGGCAGGATAGAGTCAAGGTTGCATGTCCTAAGCACTTTCTGGAGTGCATAGCGGAAAGTAGAAAGGTGAGAAGATGCCTATAGGGAGCAGTGGGGTTGTCAGTGGTCGTAGGAGGTAAGAAGTACAAGGAAGATGACATGATGATCCAAGGTACTTGGCCCTCCGAGCTCTAGGGGAAAAAATGAGCTTGTGTTTGTTTGTACAGAGGCATGAATTTGGAGCCCAGAGAAATTTACTGTGAGAAGAGGGGATGGGGTCCTTTGTGTGATGAGCTCACAGCTTTGATAGCATTTATCTACACACATGTCTTAATGGTCATGAGTAACACAGAGACCAGTAGAAGTATGAGGGGAGAGGGAGCAGCAGTGGCATCCAGCCTTGTTATCTTCTGTGTAATGAGCTAGGGAGAAGGGGGAGCAAGACTTAGACGGATATTCCTAAGGGAAGAAGCTACTCAGGGACCTTGCTCTCTGTCATGTAGGGCAGAGTGACTTTTGGGGATGTGGCTGTGGACTTTTCCTGGGAAGAGTGGAAGCTTCTTGATGAGACACAGAGACTCCTGTACTTGGATGTGATGCTGGAGAACATTGCCCTTGTGGCCTCACTGGGTAAGTCCCTCTCACTTTCCCCATCACGGCCTGGCTCTTTCTTTCTTCTTTACTTCTGGGTCTGTTTGCTTCTCACAGCCCCCTGTAGACACTGCTTCCTTTAAGTTTCTTGGGCAGGTGCTGAGTGTGTCACAGCTCGGCAAACTCTCTGTTTTTCTCTATGCCACCCTATCTCCTAGGACTGGAAACCTTGCAAGAGAAGATATGGGACAGGAGTCTTGCAGTGAACCCAGTGGCTCCTACCTACTATGGCCTTATTTGAAGAGTCACTATTCAGCATCATACCTCTTCTATATTGTGCCTACCTCCCTCCTACTGACATTTCCTGTTACTTGATGCAAGGAATTGCCAGTACCAATGTGGTCTCTAGTTTTGACATCATTATTCTGGTTCATATAAGATGTTCCTCTGTAGTTCTTTTTGTACTTACTTACTATGATCAATGGTGCAATAGAAATACCATGCACTATTGTTGTTTCCTCACTTGCTTTGTCTTACCATGTCTTTCACTTAGGACTTATATCTTCCCGGATTCATGTTGTTCAGCTGGAGGTGGGAAAACAGACCAGGCTGCCTGACACAGCTGACTTTACTCCAGCCATCTTGAGGAGTACTGGCTCTGGTAAGTCAGAAGTGAATGATGCCTTGACATTAAAACTGAGTTCTGGGGCTGTAGATTTAGCTCAGTGGCATAAGCATCTGTTTTACAAGTGTGTGGTCGTGAGTTTAATCCCCAGTACTAAAAAAAAAAAACAAAAAAAAACTGAGTTCTAATGGTACCAGGTACCCCTCTAGTGCCCATTGCTATTTTCATACCATGACTCATTTCATTCCTCCAAGTCCCATCCTTAATGCTCTTCCCCTTTGTGTCATTTCTACAGTGACTTCTGACCCTTGGCTAGCCACACCTTTCTGGCTTACGGTGGCATCCGTAATTCTCTCTCTCTTTTTTTTTTTTTTCCACCCTTGACATGTGAGATCATCCATAAGTCTTCATCATAATTTCTGCAGTGATCTCTACCACTAAGCTACATACAATGTGTTATGAGATGTGCACTTTTCAAAACAGACATGAGTGAGAGGCACAGCCCACTTTTTCTGTGCAGCATCTTTCTCTTATGTCATTTTGTCCAGACCTCACGTTATGATGTTGCCTTGCTCAGTATAACAGGCCTTTTCTCTTGCTGAGTTCAGCACTCATAGTTTCCCAAGAATCCTGTGTATTCATTTTTGATTGTGTAAGCCATGTATTTGTGATGGGCTCACCCCTTTCACACAAATTGCAATCTCCATATATATCAGTAACATTTTCTGCTTTCAGGTTGTTTGTTTCCAATGGAAGTTGAGGAGGCATCTTCTCAAGGAGAGTCACAAGTCAGGGCTCTGAATGCAGGTACTGCCACCCAGAAAGTCTGCCCTTGTGAGGTGTGTGGCCCAGTGATGAAGGACATTGTATTTCTGGCTGAGCATCAAGAAATACACCCTGGGCAGAAGCTTCATTCATGTGAGGCCTGTGGAAGACAGCTGTGGTTTTTTACAGATGTCCTTCAGCAGCACATTCAGGAGCAGCACATTGAAGAGAAAGATGTTGAGAGGTGTGAGGAGACAGCTGTGATTGTTAACAGCTCTAGCGCACACACCTCAGTGAGTTCCTTTATGTACATAGATGATGAAGAGGATCCCTTGGGCAGTTCAGGCCATCTCCCATACCAGGTTGGGAGTAATGAACAAAATCCACATACAAGCACTAGCTACAGCACAGCCTTTCAAACTAAGGAAAAACTTTATGAGTGCAGTGAATGTGGGAAATTCTTCAGTAACAAAATTGCACTTGTTTGGCACCAGAGAATCCACAGAGAACTGATGGAAAGTGGAAATATCCTGAGACCAGACTCTGTCCTTATTGCACATCCAAGAGTTCATACTGGTGAGAAACCATGTGAGTATGATGAACATGGGAAGTTCTTTAGCCAAAGCTCCAGCCTCATCCTACACCAGTGGGTTCAGTCTACTATAAAGCCTTATCAGTGCAGTGAATGTGGAAAAGCCTTCAGGTGCAAATCCAGGCTTGTTCAGCACCAGAGAATCCACACTGGAGAAAGGCCTTTTGAATGTACCAAGTGTGGGAAGTTCTTTAGACAGAGTTCTGTCTTTATTGAACACCAGAGAGTTCACACTGAAGCAAAACCTTATCAGTGCAATGAATGTGGGAAATTCTTTAGGAGTAAAGTAACGCTGGTTCGACACCATAAACTCCACACAGGTGAAAAGCCTTATGAATGCAGTGAATGTGGGAAATCATTTATTCAGAGCTCTTACCTTACTGCACATATGAGGGTTCATACTGGAGAAAAGCCTTATGCGTGCAGTGAATGTGGGAAAGCGTTCAGAATCAAAAACAAACTTGTGCGGCACCAGAGAATCCACACTGGAGAAAAGCCTTATGAGTGCACTGAGTGTGGGAAGTTCTTTAGAAGCAGAGTGATACTAGTTCGGCACCAGAGAATCCATACTGGAGAAAAGCCTTATGAATGCACCGAATGTGGGAAGTTCTTTAGAGAAAGCTCTAGCCTTATTTCACACCAGAGAGTTCACACTGGTGAAAAGCCGTATGAGTGCACTGAATGTGGGAAGTGTTTTAGCCATAGATCAAGCCTCAATTTACACCAGCGAGTTCATACTGGAGCAAAACCTTACGAATGCAGTGAATGTGGAAAAGCTTTCAGCCGTAAAGATGGACTTGTTCAACACCAGAGAATTCACAGTGAAGAAAGGCCTTATGAGTGCAGCATATGTGGAAAATTCTTCAAACAAAGCTCTGGACTCTTTGTACACCGGAGAATTCACAGAGGAACAAGGCCTTATCAGTGTAATGAATGTGGTAAAAACTACAGCAGGAGATCCCACCTTGTTCAGCACAAGAAATTTCACATTGGATAAAGGCTACCTAAATTGAACAAAATGTGAGAAAGCCTACAGCAGAAGCACTGTCCTCATTTATCATAAAACACAACACTGAAGTAAGGCCTTGTGCATGCAGCCTATGTGAAAAAGCCTACAGCAGCCGACACATACTTCTTCTACACTAGAGAAAGGACACTGGAGAATATGGCTGAAGCATTCATATATAATCTGATCCAGCACCAAAATAGACACATTGGAGAGATTATGTGACAGATGTACAAAATTTTTATATAAATGGGTTCAGAGGGTTCACACTAAATCAAAATTTTTGTAGCAATTTTAGAGCATTCTTTTAGAATAAAATTACACTTGTTGGGCACAAGAGAATGCCCACTGGGAATAGGACTGATGAGTACACTGAGTGTGTGAAATTGTTTTGCCAAAGCTCTGGCCTTACTGTACATCAGAAAGTTCACATCTGTTAGATGAGTGAATTGAATATGAATACTTTTTTAAGCCAAGGCTCCAACTTCACTTACAACAGAGTTCATATCAGAGCAAGGCCTTATCAGTACAAGAAATATGGGTAAGCATCCAGCCTTAATCCATATTTCTTTAGAAAGAGAATCCATACTGAAAAATGGACTTCTCAGTTCTAAAAATGTGAAAAATTATTTAGGTTCATGTGTGGCTTCATTAAGCATTGGAGAAGTCAATGCACAGGAGGAAAGTACAGTCATTGAAAAAGATAACAGTTGGTGACCTTTACTTACTTCCCACTGAGAAGGGCCTTAGGAGTATGGAAGATGTGCTGACTGTGTATTCACCATAAGGGTGGACATTGGAGGAACACTGTGAGAAACCATCAGCCAAATGTTAAATCTCACATCTGGATATCAACACTTAAGATTCCTTTTACTTACGTGGACATTCTCAGGACTGCATTGCACATTCTGATTTCATCCAAAGGCCCTGAGTATATCAATACCAGTACTTTTGGCTGAAGGTTCCTCACCTCTGCCACTTGGCAAGTATGAACTGTATAATTCCAGTATTCTCAGTGAGCACACACTTCAGTGGCCTTTCTCCTATTCCCTGGAGGCAAATCAGAAGTTGTTTAAGCATAATTATAATTGGAACTGAAACAGTATGTGAGTGATAACTGGGGATGACTTAAGCTCTAGGGTTTTACCCTACATAATGGTGCTTTCACAAATATTCTAGTCTAGTGACCATAGCTCTGAGAGATAGGGTTATGCAGATATACTCAGGACCATTCAACTTATGAATTACCTATGGCCACAATGACTGGCAGAGTATATAATCCAGCAGTTTTCTGGATTTCTGTAGCCTGCTTGGGCTGTTCACTTCAAAGCCACTGCTGCACTGGCAGGAAATGGGAGCCAGAGAAGAGATACTATAGTCCAGAGATAAAAGACTATTATCTCATGTAGAAATACCTTCATTAACAGTCTTCCTAAAGGATGGAGAGAATTATAGTGGAGTCAATATATGTACTCAAGCTGATTTTTCAAGAGGACTAGGAGGGGCCTGGGATATAACTCAGCAGCGCAGCACCTACCTGCCAAGCTCAAGGTCATTAGCTTGATCACTGGTATCGCCACTTCCCTAAGTCTAAAAAAAAGAGGACTAGAAGATCTGCATTTTTACATGGAACCATTTTTTGATGGTATATTGAGATATAATTGATATAAATTATAGACTTAAAGTCTTAACATGTAGAAACCCATGAAGCCACCATGATAATATACTCATCACCTGCAAAGTTACCTTGTATGCCCACCCATACAGAATTCCTATCTTCCCTGACTCTTCTACATCACCAGAGATTTACTGTCAGTATAAACTAGTTTGCTTTTCCTAGGATGTTATATAAATGACATCATAAAATATTTACTCTTTTTTTTTTTTTAAGAGATAGGATTTCACTATGCAGTTCAGACTGGCCTTGAATTCACTGTGTAGCCCAGGCTGGTCTTGAACTCACAGCAATCCTCCTGCCTCAGCCTCTGAGTGCTGGGATTACAGGCACGCGCCACCATGCCCGGCTTTTATCCGTCATTTGGAGGTTCATCCATGTTGCATGTATGAGTTTTTGTGTTCTCTGTTACTGGATCGTACTTTTTTTGGTATGAATATATCATAACGTGTTATTCTATATATCTGTTAATGGACTTTGGATTAGTTCCAGTAGAGGGTTATAACAAAGTTGTAATTAGCAATCTTGTACTAGTTAATACCTAGAAGTACATTACCTATATTAAAATGAGGTAAATGTTTATCATTCTATAGACTGACTATGGCAAAATTGTACCATGGTACATTTTTATTAGTATTACCTGATTCCAAATCTGTACCCTTGACATATGGTATGTCAGTCTTTAATTTTATGGATGATGCTCTTATAAAGAATATTCTTTATAAGATATCAATTTCCAGTTCTTTGTCAGTACAGAGAAGTATAATTATATATTGATTTCCTATCCTGGAAACTAGTATTTCTTGTTTTTGCTTTGTTTGCAGAGTCCATGGAATTTTCTCCATAAACCCCCATGTTGTCTGTAAAGAAAAGTTTTTTTTTTTAAAAAGTGGGAATTGTCAGATTTATTGCCATAGATTTGTACCAGAATAAAAAAGGGGCAGAGTGTTGCTTAGTACAAAAACCCTATGTTCACTTCTCAGTACCTAAAATACAAATCTACGAAGTGTTAATGACAACTGATTTAATCTGCTATCAGACTGTGTCTCCCCCAACACAAATTCTTGTATTGAAGCCCCACTGCCCAGTGTGATAGCATTTGGAGGTGAGGCTGTTGGGAGGTTAGGTTAGGTGAGGCAATGGTAGGATTAATGGCCTCATAAGTAGGAAAAGAGACCAAAATCCTTTCTCTCTCTGCCATGTTGGAATATATCAAGACAGCCATTTGTAAGCCAGGCAGAGAAGCCACCCCAAGAACCTAACCATATTGGCACCCTGATTTCAGACTGTTAGCTTCAGACCTATGAGAAGCAGATGTATATTTTTAAGCCACCTAATCTCTGGTATTCTGTTACGCAGTCTAGATTAAGATACAACCATTATAGGGAAAGGGGATGGAAAAGAATTAAGAGTGCTGTGTACATGTGCCAATGCCTCATGAGACTATAGTCATATACTGTAGATATGTACTAATAGTTGCTTTTAATTTAGCCTGACAGTGCACACTTGTAATCCCAGCATTCAGGAGGCTGAAGCAGTAGGATCATGAGTTCAAGACCAAACCTGGGCACATAGTGAGTTTAAAGCCAGCCTGAAGTACACAGACCCTGCCTCAAAAAATAAAAAGTAAATACATAGCCCTTCTCAAAAAGGAGAAATTTTTAAAAGTATGTAACCCATTAAATCAAGAATAAATGTGACTTTCTGCCTCAGGCACTGATAAGAAATGAATGTCATTTTCTTAACAAGTAGAAATAACATACAATGGGTGATAAAAATGATGAAATTAAAAAAAATTGAAACCGTAAGTCTAGTGAAAGATATTGCCAAGAATGGTAAGTATGGGTTAGGGAAGGATTTTGAGGGAGTTTAATGGCAATGTATCTTTTATTGTAATAAATTTTTAAAAACTCAAGCATAGTATTTTTTTATCACATCTATATGACAACTGCAACCCAGTTTTCATCATGGCAAATAGGCAGTGCCAGGACCAAGATCTCAGAAGACACACAAGGAGGTAAGTGCTCTGACTGTATTCACTTACAGGAACTAAGAATACACTGAATCCAACGCTGAAGCCAGGAATTGGCTGCAAAGGCATCTGGAACCACAGGGAGCTAAAAGGTTGACAAGCTCTCTCTGTAGACTGAGAAGGCAATACCTGGGCTGCTGGACCTGTTCTGCTGCCTCAGATGGCAGTCTGGGAGCCCAACCGTGATATTTGCATTTAAGTAGGAATAACTTTTCCTGAGTTACTTTTGTGTAAAAATAATTACTCTGTAGTGACAGGAAAACATGGAATTTAGAGCCTCTACATAGAAAAGGCCAGAAAATATTCCATTTACCAGGCAAAAAGAAAGGTTGCTACCACTGTTCTGCAGTGCAGGGAGATGGCAGATTCAGAACACATAAAGCCTTGACATAAAAGTCGTTTTGGGTAAAAGGTTTTCGCAAAGCAAACTTCCTGTTATCATCTACAAATAATACATTTCTGCTAGTAGGAAACTTGATGAATCACTAGTAAATTGAAACTGGGCCAGAAGCAATCATCAAGATCTTGCAGAAGACAGGAGACCTACTTTGCTCTCATTGGACACCTGGTAAGGTACTGGAATAGAGAAGAAGCAAAGCACCAGGGAGTGTCTCCCTTTAGAATCATTATCTACCAGACTGAAAACAAAGATGTTTTTCACTTGCATCTGCAAGGGGAAAGAGGCCTGTTTGTGTCTGTGCCATGGGAGGAAAGAGTCTATGTGTCCAGTAGCCTCATTTCTTGTTCTATAAAATAATCTCATCTCTGATCCTTTGTAAACATGGGACAAAACTACTCATCTGTCTTGGGAAAGGCTAGAAGATCGAAGTGGTAGCAAATGAGACTGAGCTGTGGATTCCGACTTCCCTAAGTGTCTATGTATTGGAGATGACCGGTGAATGGAGTATGGAGCCATGCCTGCCTAAATTCTGCCTGTAGTTGGAGGCAGCTGCAATATTTTTTATATACACAGAAAAAAAGATAAAAAGAGTTACAATTTCTGCTGTAAAACCTTCTGTTTTAAACAAAGATAGCATGGTTAGAGGAAGACTAGGGCTAAGTGGCCATCACCCTGCTCTAAATCCTTTCTGAAAGCTTCTCTCATCAGTCCCCATAACATGGTAATTTTTTTGGCTAGTGTGAAAATCTAACTGCTTTGTGATAGTGAACAAGCTCTGATGGTACTCCTGCAGTATATATCCCAGAGATCATCACTGCACAGGTACTGTGAGGAAAAGACCTTGGTAGACTTGTACTTGTCCTAGTGGCTCTTATGCCATATGACCTGGGTGTGATTGGCTTGGTTCATTATTGAGGCTTAGTGACAGGCTTTCTTGAGCTTGTAAGCCTCTGGCTCTAAACCCCTGAATAAGGCCTATCTATAGTAAAAGTTCTTTCATCTTGTAGGATAGTGTTGTGACTGAGGTCAGCATTACTAGACTAAGTTTCTCTGATCCCATTTTTGTCAGAAGGACAAAATGTTCACATGTGTCCAAACAAGATAACTCGCCTCCCTGAGAAAATGCTGCTGGGGAAAATTGCTGATCCTCTCCATGCAGCGAAAACTTATCTCATGCATGTCATGTGCATGGAGATGTCCTCTTAGTAAGCAGTCTGGACCTCGAGGATGGCTACCTGGATTCCTTTTTTGGAGCAGGATTTGAGGAACATTGGCTGGTCAGTTGAAGATGTGTTACTTCACTTGGTGTCCCTCCTTGAACTGTGTCACTTCAATCTTCAGAAACAACTTCAGGTTGCTTGGTGAACTGGGTAGCATTGCTTAGATCGTGTCTGCAGCAGCTCAGTCATAGCACTGCATCTGACCAATGCAAGGTGGTTCTCATAGATCCTGTTAGCCATCATCTATCCATAATACACATCCCTTATGTTCCTCAGACCTTACCCCAGTTCAAGGGGCACCAGGAGCAGGCTGTCCAAGTGAAGAAGACTCCAAAGATACCAGAAAACCAGTAGATTGAGCTTTGTTTTGAGTCATGTCAAAGAACTGGGTGGTAGCAGGACTTGGTCAACTTACAAATTCTGGGCCAGAATGTAGGAGAAAAGCTATGGCTCCAGAAACAGGCTGACAAGACCACTCAACAGAATAACAGGTTGATGAGACCACTTGACAGATAAAATTATGAAAGTAGGGTAGAGCAGGAGCCATCACAGCCCACCCAAGATCTTGAATAAGCATTGAGTTTCTGAAATACACATAATTTGAAGGACAGATTGTCTTCCAGTTAGCCACTTGTGACAGGCTGATATAGGCAAGCATTCAGGAACCCAGATCTGGGATGTATGGTGGAAGAACAAGAGAATCTTCACATTATGGATTATTTTTCCTTTTCCTTCAGTTGGCCCTGAAAGCCAGCAAACACTGGAGAAGTCCCTAAGTAAGAAGAACCCTGGCATTGCATGAATATTTGGAATCCCTGCTTCAACTTTCCTGGTTTTTGTGGCTCACGTTTCACAGAGCCCAATTTAGAGGAGGTCCTCAGCTATGACGGCAGAACACTGTGGACACTAGCCATGAGGATCTAGCTAAACAAAACAATTTGTCAACCTGTGATAGTTTTGTATCTTACTGGCCCTCGTGAGGCATAACAGAATGTTATGGGAACAGGTTAGAAAATTTTACTTACAGGGACAAAAATTACTGCTTTTATCTACATTAGAACAAAGAATAAAGAATTGTTTTCTCCTAATAAGAACTCAAAATAGCACTGGAAATTTATTCACTAGGCAGCAGGTCTTACACTGGGCTTTGATTAGGTTGCTAAGCTTAATGTGTACAATCTTCCTGTTAGAACAAGACAGGATAAGGGTACTAAGTCATTGTACAGTTGGACAGGCCCCAAGAGATGTGTGACTGGGCCACAACTATATGGCCAGCTCATAAATGCACAATTCAACTGATCAAACCCTAAAAACATACCTTGTTTTCTGACTTATTTCCTCACTTGTGTATTCACTGGGGTTTTTAATGGTGGGAGTGCTCTTTTTCAAGTTAGGTTCCTTTTGAAATCTGAACCTCAGACAGAACCCCAAGAAAGAGAAGAGAATCTTTACAAATACGCTTCCAGCTGTAACTCCTACATGCTTCTAATTGCCCTCCTGGAAGATGAGCCCCTGACCGAGCCCTTCCCAAGATAAGACCAACAGCAATGGATGAAGACAGTTTTTCCTAGCATTCTGAAATCTTAGGGTACTATGTTTTAAGGGAGTTTCAGTTTGTTTTTATGGCTGGATTATGACATTTTCCCACTTACGCATAAGAATGTTAGCATAATCACTGCTGATCAATATGCTGTGTAAAAGCAAAATATCGACAACTCCTACTATAGTTTAAAAATGGATTGGGTGCTGTCCCAGAAGCCCATTTGTTGGAAGCTCAGTCTCCAGGGTGGCAGTATTGGGAGATAGTGCAAACTTGATGAGGTGGGGTCAACTGGGAGGTTCTTAGGTCATTGAGAATGTGCTCTTGGAAGGTAGTTCTGCAACCCCTTTAGTTGTAGTGAAAGTATCATAAAAGCTCTATTTCATGATCCAAGATGTAATTTTCTGGCTCCTCTATGTGCTCCTGTACTGCTTTCTGCTATGAGTTAGTACAGCCAAGGAGTGGCCTTTGCCATAATGAAGCAGGATTTAGAAAAAGTTGTTTCCCAAACAGCTGTTATTCTTTGTTCTAATATAGATAAAAGCAGTAATTTTTGTCCCTGTAAGTAAAATTTTCTAACCTGTTCCCATAACATTCTGTTATGCCTCACGAGGGCCAGTAAGATACAAAACTATCACAGGTTGACAAATAGTTTTTGGTTTTTTGCTTGTCTACAAGTTCTGTGTGGAAGACCAACCCCCTTATCAAAATGTATGAAGACATTTTGTCCAGCAGTCAGCCATTTGGGACACATAAAAGTCCACTGGGCCAGTGTGCACCTAAAATCCCAGAATAAAATCCTCCTGTTACCCTACTGCTCTCTGAACTCTTTGAGTTCTACATTTGGAATTTTAACCTCCAAAAGAGATCTAAATAAACCTCTTATTTCCTAAGTAGCCTGTCTTAAGTATTTTGTTATAGTGATGAGTAGCTGATTGATAAAACGCTGTCATGTTGCAAATATCAGCAAGCTGAACTTTTTATCAGAAAATAAAAAGCATGTACTTAATGTGATTGTGGATATTGCTGCATATACCTGTGCTTCAGGTATCTGAGTCCACTGATTGCCTTTCTATCATGATCCTTTCTGAGAGTTTTGGAGAGGAAAGAACCCTACAGAACAAAAAAGATAGGATGAGGTAGAAACCAGTGTCCAGGGTAGCTCTAGGGGGAAAAAAGAGACTTGGTATAATCATTGGCCCTTTCGGAAGGCCACAGCTCACCTTTGCGAGGCCCATAGCCTGAGAATGCCCATGCTCTCGATCTGTGGCACTTGGTTGGGCTCTGGTCTTCCAAATTCCACCTTCTCCAACGCATGCCTGCATCCGCTTCAAACCATTACCAGTGGTTTTTGCTGTTGTCTAAACACTTGTTACTTTATCCTAACATCAAAAACCCTTTACTAAACCCTCATTTTTCCTCTCTATAGATTTTGGATTATGATTTTGAGCTCACATGCCAAAAGATACGCAGTTTCCATAAGGTAACCATCCAGATAGTAATCCCAGATAACACAAAATCTGAAAGAGTCTTTTTGTTTTGGTTTGGTTTTGGTTTTTTCTTTACCATTGACTCATTCCTAAAGGAAGAGTTACAACAAATCTTTCAAGATAAAAATTAGATAGTAACTCATATTAAGAAAAATCTCTGGTGATGGTAACTGCACAAACATAAAAGCCAGTGTCACAGTAATTTAGAACCTATACTAATGAAGAAAAAGCTC